CCTCCAGTCTCTTTTGCAAACCCTTGGAATTAATTTTAGCTCAGTAGTTCTTCACTGCAGATGGTGTATGTACAGCCTGTGTTTAAGAAATACTTTGTGTTATACCTTTTGATATTTATTTGCATGTGTCTGCATTTCTCCATAGACTGGTTCAATATTATCATTGTATCATAATAGCACATCACATAGCAGACAGCTCAGAGGTGCAAATAACTGTTGGTAAATATGTTGCTCAGTTGTTATATTAGACCAATTGCTAGAAAGTTGTTCGGGTCTTTGTTCATATGAATGAAACCAGAAGTCAACTGAGAAAAATTAAATGCATGGTTGTCAGAATATATATTAAAGAAAGCAAAAAGCCTTCTGACAATGAAAAAGATGGCTAATTTAACTGTTGGCAATATTGTATTCACAACATGCACTGTGTTGAGTTCCTGTTGTAGAAGTCAGCAAAGGGATGTCATGTCAGAAGCAGCCAGTCCAAGTGAGAGAAGGTGAGAGAAGGAGGCCGCTAAGCTGCCACCCACAAAATGAGGAGTTAACTGGAGGAAAGAGGGTCGTGGTGTCTGTAAGGGAAGCATCTGTCCTCATACTGCTCAGCCTTCATCTCACGTAACCCACCCAGTTTCTAACTTAAGCAGTGTTACTTTTGTGAACTAGATAGCTGTGTGCAAATTAGGGTTAGTTATAAAGGCATTAATAAATTAATCAATTTGTTTCTCACTCCTCTAATGTAATAATTCTAACCCTAAATCAATTTTATGTGTGTGTGTGTGTGTGTAGAGAGAAATGTATACCTCATTTTATTGTGCTTCACTTTATTGTGCTTTGCAGACACTGTATTTAAAAAAAAAATGAAGGTTTGTGGCAACTCTGAGTCGAGCAAGTCTGTCAGCGCCGTTTCCAACAGCATTTGCTCACTTCAGGTCTCTATGTCACATTCTGCTAATTCTCGAAATAGTTCAAACTCTGCACCAGCAAAAAGATTATGGCTCACTGAAGGCTTGGATAATGCTTAGAAATTTTTAGCAATAAAGTATTTTTTAATTGAGGCATGTACATTGGTTTCTGGAGATAATATTATCATTCACTTCCTAGACTACATATAGTGTACAAAAAACTTTTAAATGCACCAGAAACCAAAAATCTGGTGACTCATTTTATTGTGATATTTGCTTTATTGAGATAGTTTGGAAATAAAACTGCAGTATCTCTAAGAGCTGCCTGTATCTATAATATATGTGTTTTTATACATGAGAGAGAAGGCTTGAAACATGACTGAAGACATGTAGCTAGACCTAATATAGTAAAGGAACCTGACTGACTAACCTGAAAATTGTTACAATATCTCAATGGAGAAAAAGCAGAGCCCAGAGAAACTTGAATTCGTCTTATCACAAGGTTATTGGATCCCTTTTCATATGTTTTTTACTCTGAAGAATTTAGAGAATGGAATAATAATCGAGTTTACCTCAAGGGGTGGTGTAGAGGATTAAATGTAATAATATCACAGTGTCTGGTGTACAGTCAGTGTCCATAAGGTTATTGCTTTTATGGTTACACTAACTGTATAACCCTTTTGTTTTTTTCATTGAGAATGTCTTGTTTCAGGACAAAATGAAAAATCAGAATGGATGAAGAAGGAGCCTTCTGAGAGTTGCTTAACCATCATTATGCACATGATGCGGCAGGTGAAACAGGTTATTTCACATTTGAACTCATTCCAGCAGCGGTGACCCTTTCTCAAACCCAGATGTTTAAATGACTGCTCAATGGGGATGTTCGGGATTATAAATATGTCCCATCTGCTGCTACCGTCTGCCTGCTCTTGAAATGTATAAAATCACCCGGTGCACTTGGTATCTGCAGCTGTCCCCGTTCGAATCCACAGGCAAATTAAAAGGTGACCAGGAATCTTTCTTATAGGAAAGACTTTCAACATTTGCCTACAGTGAATAAACGAAGGTCAAGGCGATCGCTTTGCTACTGAGTTATTGGATAGAAGAACCATGGGAAATAGTGTATGATTTAATTAAGAGAGCTCTCTATCTAGATAATCACAAACAAAAACGAGAGCACATTTAAATTTTCAGCTCTGAAAACCTGAAATGCATGTTTGCAACATTGTACGGAACACAGTCTTTTTCTTCAAATGGGCTCTTGACTGCAAATTTAATATTTTAGGAAAATAAAAATCTTGCAGCTTGAATATGTAATACTAAGAGTAGTATTATTACTACTGAAAAGACTGTTATTAGTAGCAATGCTGTATTCTGGTTAGGCAGTTCCTCTGCTTTCCATCCCTGTTTTGGGAGAAATTTCCTTTGTACTGTTTCATACTTTGACATCAGATTTCCGCTTCATTAGACAATATTCTTCAGGACAGCAGGGATTTCACCTTTCTCATCTCTTTTTACACGGCACTCAACAACATAACTGGCACAAAGTAGGCATTCCAGAAATAGTGTAGAATACGTTAAAAATTAATAAAGATCAATTACATCATCTAAAATGTTTCCAGATATCAGACACTAAACTGCATATCAACAGGAAAATAACTCCAGATTTTCAGGTATTTTAATTTCCCTGGTTCCTCCTTGAGCACAAGAACTTGTCTGGTATATTGAACACATAGACCCATGGACTGAAATACCAAAGAAGACAGTGGGGAAGTAGCCTTCATGGAGAGTAGACTGAAAGCCTGAATTTGTGTTAAGTATTCTTTTAATTTAAGGATATTAAAGGCTTCTATCAGAATCAAGAAGAAATCACCATAGATTGATAGAGAGATGATAATAGATCCATTCAATGTTAGTGTCTGAGCTCCCTTTAACAGGAGACAGGACGCGGACTCAGACAACATGAACCTTAATATTATTCTGTCTGCTCTAAGCTTGATCTTGAGCAAGCTGCTCAGACTCAATAAATACACACATTCTTCCCATCCAAGTACTAACCAGGCCCTACCCTGCTTAGCTTCTGAGATCAGACGAGATCGGGCATGTTCAGGGTGGTATGGCCATAGACAATACACATATTCTTACATGTTCATTAAAATAGGTTCTGGCACGTGATTTTTATTAGCATCAAATGACACATTATGTGAAAGCAATCTGAAAGCTGTGAAGGAGTATCCCAGTACTGGCAGGTCAGTACTCTCCATTGTTAGTCTTGGGAAAAGACTTCTGATGACCCAATTTTCAGGAAGGTTAGAACAGTTTGATAGAAAAAATTAATAAAAAGTCAAAGTGTTAGGTTTTGACTAGAGTAAAGAGTTGGAGTAATCTAATGTATGAAGTCACGATTGGAAGGGAAATTAAGCGACTACATTACTCTGTAACTTCGTATCTTGTTTGTAAACATAGGGACAGTAACAACTAATATGTCTCTAATATTAATATTTCCCTTATCAGTTTAATTAGTCTATTTAACTAAAAGATAAGTTCTTATTTTTTTAATATAATTATGCAACAGTACTGTCCATTCTTTCTCCATCAATATTAGATATTTGCAATGTTTTTCAAACTTAAGCATGCATAAGAGTCATCTGGAGAGATGATTTTGACACGGATTCCTGGGCCCCCTTTCTAGACATTCTGATTCAGTGGGGCTGGGATGGGGCCAGAGTTTTCTTTTTTCTAACAAGCTCCTACATGACGCTGATGATGCAGGCGCAGTAGAGCATGGCACCACAGAGCAATAGTGGACAAGAACCATTATAAGTGATTCCTTCCCTAATTAACAGCAAAAAAGATATTTCAAAAGAGGATGGTCATGTCTTTAATAAGATTTTGAAATTTTGGGGGACAACATTTATTATTTTTTTTTAGCATGGATATAGGCAAAAATATATTTTAGAATGCATGATGTATAAGTTGGGTTTCTTAGGAATCAAACCCTGTGGAAGATATTTGCACAAAGACATATTAATGGAGAGTACTCTTATGAGTACTTTAAGGGAACAAGAAAAATAGTACTGGTCAGAGCAAGAATACTGAACTGCAATGAAGTTGCTACAAAAGACACAGCCAGTTTTGTCGGGAGCTCTTCAACTGCTATAGTTCCTCAAATTTTTCCCATTCAAGTCAAGAGGGTCAGGACTTTTAAACCCCGCAACAATCAGTAATTTGATGTGGGTCTCCTCGGAGAAGGGAGTAGCACTGGGTGAATGGGGTATCTTCAGGGAGGGCACAGAGGACTTCCTGGAGAGGGATTAACCTCTGGGCTCTCCCAAATAACACTTGGAGTGCCTTACACTGAAGGAGGGAACGGAGAGTGCATGACCCAATTCACCAAAAATTGTCTATTTGATATTTTGAATTAGTTCCGTTTCTCTAGGATCCAGGTGTAGCAGCTTGTAATTCAGTTGTAGATTACATGGATAAAAACATGTAATACTTCCAATCTGAAGCATCTAAAATTTGGAGTCAGCAGAAGTTAACCTGAACCTCATAAAATCGTGTACCCCTACATCTTGCAATATTTTGTTGTTTTCTGCTTTTGAATGAACTGGAAACTGTGTATCAGCACTTTAGTTTTAAAACTGTCATTGTAAAGATTGTGAAAGGAAAAATGGTGAGGATAGTGTTCCTCGAACTATTTCCCCTTTTCATAAAAGCAATATAGCAATTGCTTTGCCCTGAATTATAACGTTTGCCCTAACCCACCTCACTAACCCAACAAATATGTGAGTTAAATATGATTCAAATAGAATGGTTTAGACAATCAATTTGGGCAAAATACTTAGGCTTGTCAAATTATTTTATTCAAATTTACTAAATTACTTTTATTGATGTGAGAAGGAAAATATGTATTATCTCACCCTATTCTTTTATTTTATAGATTAATAAACTGAAGTCTAGGGATTAATTGTCATTCAGTCTTTTAAGTAATATTTTTTGAGCCTCTGCAACATACAGGCACTTGACTAAATGTAAAAGATAAGAGAATTAAAAAAAAAGACTTCATCCTCTGTTCAGGCAGCTTAAAGTTTTGAGGGGAGTCTGATAAAAAAAGAAAACAAACTAAATGAAGAAAGAAAATAATTAAAACTCATGATATAATACAGTTAATAATCACATTATAATAAGAAGGACAAAAACAGGGCTCCATTTGAGCGGGAGTCAAGGAAGGTGACTTTTAAACCTGTAAAAGAGCAATTAAACCCGCCTATCCACAGCAAGGGAAGCATTTCAGCCAGTGAGGGGCTAGACATTTTCAACAAACTGAGGACAGTGCATCGAATTGGAAGGTATTTTAACATAATAAAGTGGTTAAAGTTTGGGCTTTGGATTTATTTTCACTTTAATTGTGATGAGAAGTCATTCAAGATGCTGTAACTTGGAGGTGGGCTGGGAAAAAATGACTTGCCCCAGTGAAGGTAAAACTTTCTGGAAGCTGGGTAACCAGAAGGTTGTTACAAATGTAGAATAGGTGTTGAGTGTTAGTGGCAAGGATTAATTTAGGGACGACCAGATGAGCAGTTGCCCAGGCAAGGAATGATGGCTCAGTTTATGATGATCATAGTCAAAACACTGTAATAGGACATTCTCTAAGGAATCCAGAACGTTTTGAGACAGGACCTAGAGAAAAGACTAAAAAAAAAAAAGAAAGATTAGGTTAAAAAGAATGAAAGATTAGGTTAAAAAGAAAGAATAGGTTTGTGAGGGTGGTATTTAGACATTAAGAGTTTGGCTTGAAAACACTGCTAATTTGGAATGTAGTTCATCCAAGTGAAGCCCAGAAAGAGGCACTTTGGTACAAAAACTAATTCGTCAAGTGAAGATACAATATCTTATACTCATCACATTGAAAACTTGACCTTAGCAAAGAACTCTTAGCTAACCAAGATTAAGAACTTTATTGAAGTATCATTGACAAATACAAATTGTATATATTTAATTGTATATATTTAAGGTGTACAATGTGATGCTTTGACATATATATACATTGTGAAGTAATTACCACAATCCAGCTAACAGCTTATTGTCTTGATTTTCACTCTATTTATCTGGCTATTTGTAGTCTGTATTCTTTGCTCAGGACCACTATTAGGCCTTAAAATATTTTAGTTCCACAGGTGCTATTTTCTTCTTATCCTATCCTTTTTTTCCCCCTACAATCTCAATGCTTCATTTATTCTCTGTGGCTGATCATTTATAAGTTTATTTCGCTACTCCAAATAGTTTATCTGAGTTTACAATGCATATGTCCAATTGCTTACTTGCCAGACTTTCTTACATCTTTCAGATAAATATCAAGCTTACATCCAAAACCAAAGTTCATGATCTTCACTTCAAATCTGTGAATGATACCCCATAAAGAAGTTCAGTGTAATGTTCTTTTAAGATCCCTCTCTCTGTGAATGTCTCCAGCTGTGTATGCAGTCAAGAGCTTAATCCTTGACCTTTTTCTCCAACATCCAATTAGTCATTGAGTTCTGCTTCTGTATCACATACTTCCATAGCCCTCTATACTTATTTTATATAAACTTAAAATATTATATAACTAATTGTTTATTTCATGATGATATAATCGTTATGAAACTCCCGCAGAAGGCTGAATTTTCCATGAAATCATAGACTGAATTTGGTTTGCTCACTGTTCTAGCCCCAGAGTATGCAATGCAGATGCTGAATACATACTTTTCAATGTATTAACAAAGCATATAAGTAAAATAAAAACATTTTATAAAAAATTGTCTCAAATCTTTTTTAGGATTATTTGAATCTTCTGAAGATCCTTCTTATCTATTGCAATACACTCAAGTATTTCCAGTATGTTTTGTGGCTTTTTCCCCTTTCTTTTGGAAATACAACTACATTTATTTTGAAAGACCACTAACAAACATATTTGGTTTAATTTCTACCCTAATTATGTGGAGAAATAAACCAATTAGACAAAACTCCTCATATTTCAAAATTTTGATGTATGACAGACAATGGTGTTTAGGCACAATGCATGTTGGCTTTGAAATCACAGACATTTATAAATGCCTTTTGGGCAAATTAATAAAGGAAAGAATGAATGAATAGTATTTTAAGCAATATAGGTCATAAAAATATATACCCAATTTCTGACCTCATTATTTCATACAGAAAACTCTTTATGATTATTTTCAATACAGCATTACCTTAATTAGTAAGGTTAAGGAGGCTGGCTACATTTCTATCAAGTTCTCCCCTTGTCCATATTACTCAAAGTTTATAAAACCCTAAACAGCAATGCAGGTAAATTGTAATTTAAGCCAAAACATCAACTAGTATTGCTGTTTGCTAACAGCTTGACTTTCAGCAAAATGAATTTTCAGTCTTGGGAATCTTTGTGTCACTTGTTGATGTGAAGGGTTGGGTAGCGCAGAATCATAGAGCAAATAAAATCGTGCAACAATGATATTTACAGTGTTTATTATCACTCATGTTTAAATGCTAGATTATTGTCCCCATTAGGATTATGGAAATTTCATGAAAAAGTTATGAAGTGCCAGGATTAAAGTAGGTGTCAGAATTTACACTGCCAAAATATTTTAATAATATTCACTGTGTTTCTCAGAAATTCTTAGAAAAATACAATCTCTCAAGACTGAACCAGGAAGAAATAGAAAATATGAACAAATAAATTACCAGTACTGAAACTGAATCAGTAATTTAATAAAACCTTGAAAAACAAAGTCCAGGATCAGTTGGCTTCACAGGTGAATTCTACCAAATATTTAGAGAAGGGTTAACATCAATCCTTCTGAAACTGTTCCAAAAAGTTGCAGAGAAAGGAACACACCCAAACTCATTCTGAGGCCACCATCACCCTAACACCAAAATCAAAGACATCACATAAAAAAAGAAAATTACAGGCCAATATGACTGATAAACATAGATACAAAAAT